GCTTTTCGATCGGTTGTGGTTGGTGTCATTCTTTGATATTTTTATCAACATTCTGAGATTTTCCTTGTGAGACTTACACAGCAATTAGTTTCAGGCCAAGTCGGAATTTGTTTCGCGAAGTGTGTTGAGTCCATTGTTGCCCGAAGCAGCCATTTTCTATTTGGAGGAATATGGTGCTGAAAAGTACGCGTCGGTGTTTTTGGGCGAATTCGACAATCCGGAAATCATTTGGAACACTGAAATGAGGTTTGTTCATTTCTGGTTTTGAAAAAACAATTGAAAAAAAACTGATTTTTTGGTTTTAAGTTATCATTTTTCAATCATTTGATGGTAGTAGCAGAGATATTCGTAATAAAGTGATAATAAAAATAATAATGATGTTCAGACGTCATCTAATAGAACGTATCGCATTGCACATCAGCGATTTCTCGAATCGTCTCCCGTCAAATGTGAAGGCTTTGTACCAATATTGCCCAATCCCAACAGTGGACTATCCGCAGCTGGATGATGAGCTCTTCTGTCATGTCTATTATCTGCGTCATCTCTGCAATAAACAGCGTTTTCCGGATTGGCCGATCCGAGATCCGGTTCGATATTTAATGATGTTGATCGATTGATTAATTGATTTTGGTCGTGGACAGATTTTAGCATAGATTTCGGCATGATTCTCGTGATTCTGATTTCGGCATGTTTCCATAGATATTTTGAGACGGAATTTTGCTAACAATAAGAGAAATAGAGAAGTTTTCGGAAATTTTTTAAAAAATTTGGTATTTTCCCAATGAATGCGAGATTCGTTCATTTTCAGGTGCCGTTTTTACGTGCTTGCCTAGCAGCATGGCTGAACGAGATCGATCGCAAACCACCAGCGATGTCCGTAGAACAAGCTTGTCAAACACTTGGACTGCCGTTCGATGACGAAAGCATGTGAGCGATTTGAGAAATGACCGATTTCATTCTTATTTCATAATGGAAGTTGAAAATTTTTTGAAGTTTTTCCTTATGAAAATTTCTTGAAATTTTTGAATCACCGAAGTGGATGATAATTAATTAATTGTAAGTAGAAAATGAGTTGGTGAAATTGGTGTTATTTTTTGTAGATGGTCAGATGCGTCAAAGATCCGTCGTGCCTACTTTAAACTGGCGCAGAAGTATCATCCGGACAAGAATGCGGATGGCAGGGAAATGTTCGAGCAAATCAACTATGCGTACGAAATGCTATCGTCGAATTCGGCTCGAAAATCGCTCTCACCTGACATACAACGTATCGTGTTGTGCATACAGGCTCAGTCGATTGTCTACTGCAGACACTCTGAAGGTTTGTTTTGTGTTTCATATTTGTTTACTGGTTTGATATTTGTTCAATTGTTTACGTGATATATTGCAGAGCTGTCGCCATACAAATACGCTGGATACACTCAATTGATCCGCACGATCGAGCTGGAGTCGAAAGACGACGCGTTGTTTTCGAGTGGTGGAGGTGTGTTGCTGAGTGCTGCGATAGAGCTGTGTCATTTCACATTGCAGAGTTCGGCGTTGAATGCCGAGCAGTTGAGACGAGACGCTGGTTTAGAGGTCAGGGCATTTGCCTGGGTTTTTGTTTTGTTTTGTTTATTCGTCGATCTGCGATATTTGGGCGGAAATTCCCCCTCGCATAGAATCATTATTTAGGATATTCCCTCTGAAAAAATTGTTGGAATTCGTCGAAATTTTCCATGTGAAGAATTTGATGGTATTTTATGAGAAGTGATATTGTGTGCGATTTAAAATTTGGCATTTTTTTAAGAATTGAGATTTAGAGAATGTGGAATCAATTGTGTTTTGGTATTGTCTTTGCAAAGCAGTTTTTAGGCACTTCAAAAGGCGTTCGATCGTTGCGTACCAATGGTGAATT